GTGTGCTCTTCCGATCTGACATATTTAGTTCTGAAATTGTAAGCCTTTAAAAAAAAGAAAATATTTACAAAACATAAGTTGTAGAAAAATGCTAAATATATAATTATTATGAAAAAGTAGTCATTGATAATAAATATTTATTTTTTTGTATTGTTTGAAGAATTACGTTATTTTATGTACTGGTTTATCACAATATATATTTGAAAAATTGAATAAGTAAATTTGTTAGAAAATTTATTTACTTTAACCTTTTCGTGTCTAACTTTTTTCTAAAAACTAACATCTAATTCAGTCTTACTAAAGGTTTTTAAGATTATTGATTATGAATCTGTAATCAAAATTTTGTAATTCAACATGGCTGATCTAATATAGCAGATTTAATATATCAACACTATTGTATGAATGTTTGACGAAGTATGCAAATTAAGGCAAAAAGTGACAAAAATCGATTTTCTTGTAAAGAATCTTATTCTTCATATTTAAAATGAATTTAGAAAGAAGTCGCAATCTTTATTTTTGTAGAAGATATAAATTTTTGAAGGCATGGGACGTGTATGATTCACCAGGCACGAAAGGGTTAAACTAATTACACACACGCACGCACGCACGCACGCACGCACGCACGCACGCACGCACGCACGCACGCACGCACGCACGCACGCACGCACGCACGCACGCACGCACGCACGCACGCACGCACGCACGCACGCACGCACGCACGCACGCACGCACGCACGCACGCACGCACGCACGCACGCACGCACGCACGCACGCACGCACGCACGCACGCACGCACGCACACACACTCGCATACATATAATATATAAAAGAACTACAATTCACACACATATACAAAAGAACTACAATTCCAAAACAAAATGGTATTACACTTATGGTATACTTTTTCTTATTATTTTGAAATTTTGTTTTCTTCTACAAAGAAAAAAAGAAGAGAATATTTTTAATATATATTTTGGAAAGAATAAATATTACAAATGCATTTATAACAGTATTTTTATAATTTCTTAATAACAAATTACTTTTTGATATTACAGGCTCTTGTTAGAAAATGGCAAAAATTAGGTTTGGCTGACGCACCTAGTGAATTATTATCTATGGCAAAAACAATGGCTTTAGCGCCTAGTGATTTGTTTGAAGAATCATTAAATATAATGGAAATATTTTCTAGCAATTTGACAAATAAATATCCAGCAATTGCTGATTTCATACAGTATGTTAAAAATACATGGTTACCAATTGCATCGAAAGTATCAGTATATGGATGTCCCAACCGTACAAACAATTTGGTTGAAAGTTTTTACGCAAGTATTACCAGAAAGCTAGGATTTACTTCTTCAAATCTGTGGAAGTTTTTAGGTTTGTTTATTATAAGTTCATAATTCAAATATTATATCAACATATAAGTAATATAAGTAACATTATGTCCAATAATATTAAATTACAACAAATTTAGATGAAGTCAGCAACTTTATAGTTAATGAGACACTAAATTATGAACGTCTTCAGCTTGGTCACTTCTTGAAACGATTGCAAACAAAACGTCATTTTTATTTAAATAAGAAAATAGATCGGAAGAGCACACG